AATGATGATGAATATTAATGTTGATATCAAACAAGTCTTGAAATAGATTTTTTGGAAGACTGGGGTGCTTATTAAAGATTTTGTACATGAACTGACCAGTACAATATCTGTTGACATCAAAAATATTTAATATGTTAAGATCTTCAAATAAGGGAGCGGAGTGAGAAAGTCTATCCTTATTTAAAGCTAGCCTTAAGAATTGTTTCTGCAGTTTATGTAGACGATCATAAAATGATTTAAATGTGTTACCCCAGATTATGTTGCAATAATTTAATTGAGAGTGTATCAATGAGTAGTAAATTGTTTTGAAACTGTCTATTTGAAGTAGATGTTTAATGTGATAAAGAGAACCAATGACGCGAGAAATCTTTGTTTCAATAGATTTTATGTGCTCTTTAAATTTCAAGTTTTTATCAATAATAATTCCAAGAAAGTCAATTTTATCCCGGAAATTTATGTTCTCATTGCGTATTTTGAGATTCAGATTTGTTTGATTTTTTTTGGGGTCCAAATAGAATAGCATTGGTTTTGCCAATATTAAGTGAAAGTTTGTTTGCTTTTATCCAGTCATCTATTGAATTCAAGTTTGCATTAGTTCATTTAAATCATAATCACTATCAAGAAGATTGGTGTCATCAGCAAACATAATAAATTTTAGATTAGGGTCAACAAAAGGCAGATCATTTATGTAAATAATAAATAATAGTGGTCCAAGCACCGAGCCCTGCGGAACACCACAATTTAGAGATGATTGTTTAGATTCATAATTGTTAATGGTGACATATTGTTTGCGGTATTTTAAATAACTTTCAAACCAGGACTTAGCTATTCCTCTGATGCCATAATATTCAAGTTTTTGTATCAAAATGTCATGATTAATAGTGTCAAAGGCCTTGCAAAAATCTAATGTTATGCCAATGCTCGTTTTCCCCAAATCAGTTGATTTGTTCAATGAAATATAAAATGGCCATGTAGGTAGAGTTGAATTTCTGAAATCCAAATTGATAAGTAAAAATAATTTCAAAACGTTCTAAAAAACCAGTGAGTTTGGCGTGCATGAGCTTTTCTAACAATTTAGAAAATACCGATAAAACTGAAATTGGTCTATAGTTCGAAGGATTTGTAGTGACTCCTTTTTTAAATACAGGTGTTACTTTGGCCAATTTGAGGGCGTCTGGGAAAATACCAGATTTAAAAGATAAGTTAAATATGTACAAGAGCGGATCAATTAAAAACTGTCTTACAGACTTAATAAGTGATGGTAGAATCCCATCAGGTCCAGGCGAGGAAGATTTTAGAAGACATATTTCTAATTCAAGCTCAATTTTTGAGGTCTTTTTGAGATAAATAGATGATTGAACTTTTTGAGCTCTTGCTAGGTATTCATAAACAATCGTTTTGCTGAATTAATAAAAAAAATTGAAAAAATCAAAACCATCGAATATCACTTTTGAAACCATCGAATATCAATTTGAAACCATCGAATATCACCTTTCAAAAAGTGATATTCGATGGTTTCAAAAGTGATATTCGATGATTTGGGAATTGTTTGCTAAAATATGATATCTTCATCCACGTATCAATTATATCTTCACGTGATTTTCGATCTATATCCTTGTAACCATGGGATAAATAAGGGTTATGTACTGGGAGGTTTTGGATACGGGGTTTTTCCAGAGGGAGATATGCATATCTACCTGAGGGACCGTAGGGACAGAAAGAAGATGTGCATATCTCACGAGGGATGAACCCAATATCCAAACCGACCGTACATAACTGCTTTATCCTATACCAAGTAGAGTTTTCAGTAGTACAAGGTGTAAAAAATAAACAAATCATTCATATGCAAAGTCATTTTATTGCATTTCCACTTTTTGGAAGCGGGAAGATACGCCCCGAAGCGGGAAGATATGCACCGAAGCGGGAGATATGACGGGAGATGTGGAGGTTCTTGATATGGAAACCTCAAAATCAGGATACGGGATATATCTTACCAACTTATCTCCCTAAAACCCTACTTGGCATAGGATAAATCAAGATAATTTCTACTCGCATCTAGTCTATTCCACATGTTTGGGAAAAGTGTACAGGAAAATCTCCATGTTCAATTGATGTATGATCAACCCTCATAGGGGTCAATCCAGTTGTCCGAAACCCAGTTGTCCGAAACTCAATTCTCCGAAACCCAGTTGTCTGAAACCAAGTTCTCCGAAAATTAGGGGATCTTATCAAAAAATACAATTTCTTAAAATGAATCTTGTCGCAACCTCTGCGAATCACGACAGCATAACATTTGAATCACGTTGACATCATTGCAAAATTAGGCTAAATATGCTAAGTCAAGACGTTAATTAGCCCACGAAAGTTCATGGGTAACTTGAGAACTACAAAATACAACCAAATACTTTTCGAACGTACAATAGCAATATTTCTCACCCAACGTCTTCATAGTTTTAGGAACGTATTTTAAACGCATGATAGCCAAATATATCAAGATACTATATCTGCCTAAATGAAGTTATCTAGTGTTGACAAAGTTTTGAAATATATTTTATCCAGATCCATCAGAAATTAACTTAGCCAATACATTTGTTCATAAGAATTCTTTAATTCTACCTCGTTCCCAATACGTCCTCAGACAGACAAGAAATTGAAGTCACACCCGTTTGTTTGCGTGGCATATTTATACGTATACGCACTTTCTCTGATTATTGTCAAACAAATACATTTCAGGAGAAGAACATAAAAAACAAATGCCTGAAACGAATGCCGAAACATAAATTCCAAGTGATTAAGTTTAGAATGTTTTATTCTTTTACGATTTGATAAGAGACTGAGACTAAGAAATTAAATGCGACGAAATATTTTGACAACGTAATTTGTATACTGTTTTATTCTTAAAGTTCTATGCGATACCTTATTTTATCTGTTTCAAAATGTTTCATTTTATTTTGCCTATATAAAAGAGATTGAAGAAGATAAGATAAACTGTTCCGTAATATATATTGTGTTTTAATAACCTTTTTTAGAATCACAATGTAAAATAAATCTCCCGTTCCTGCCATTCTGGTAACGCCATGCAATGGATGCAATTCAAAGTGAGAGAGAGAGATCTATGAATATCAGAATGCGTCCATGCCATTAATTTGGCCAAATACATGGCATGAAACTGACGTAAGCTTAAGTAAGCTACGCCCCCCCCCCTTTCTCTGGTAAATTATGACTTTATTTTTCGGAGTAATGGGTTTCGGACAACTGGGTTTCGGGGAATTGGGTTTAGGACAACTGGGTTTCGGACAACTGGGTTTCGGACTACTGGGGTGTCAATATATACGAATCGAATGTATTCTCGTGTGCATTACAATATCCCCATTGAAACATTTTTGGCCTGCAATGGACGTATAATGAATTAGAATATGAGGCCGTGTTATCATTCTAATGTAAAGTCATGGTATTTACTGTAGTATTGGGTTGCAAGTTAATATCAGATTCAATGCAAATCAATCATCTAATATCAGATGCGCGATCAGTCCAGTAATCTAATTTCAGGTCATCAGTTCGATATCTAGCACTTGTTCTAACGACACGGTATTACTAGACTATCATATTATAAATACACACACATATAAAACAATCAAACTGGTACACGATATAAGCACGACTGCTCTTTCAATTGAGTATAAATGTTGATGAACTTACCCGGAAGCCAAGACATACACGTTTAGACGATGCTATTTTCAGTTCAGTGTAAGAGTAAATGCCCGGATATCGAGGCTTTTTCGTGTAAAGTTTTAACCAAGCATCTAAAATCGGGTTATATTGCGTGTAGAATTTATCGATATCAGGGCCGCTACATGCCAGTGTGTTATGTTTATTTTTGATTTACATGTACCCTGTATACCGTAATCGCTGTATTAAGAGCCCACCCCTAATAAGCGCCCACCCTGCTTCACAGAGTTCAAGAAATAACGAGGAATGAATGAATGAATGAAGTATTAACGAATATATCAGAAAAAAATCAAATTTCCAAAGAAATATAGTGGGCGATAATAGAGTACTTACACTAAAATGCAGAAATCATGACGCATTTTGTAAATCGATGCATCCTCCCGATGAATATCTATCAGTGTGTGCTTCCCACATCATACTAAGCTAATCTTATCTCAAAATAGTCCATAATGAATGAAAGAAATGATCACGTTTCAGAGTTTTGTTTTGACATTTTACTAACTTAGCGATCGTCAAGGTCATGTCAAGGTCGTGAACTTTCTTGTTTCTTTTTAAGCTTTCTCGACTTTTACATGACTTTTATAGGAAAAATGATGATCTGTCATCAAATTAAAAAACAAGGTATAACTTTAGATCGATATCTAACAGTCTATAGTGGAAATATTGAAGATAATCACGGAAAACAATTCCTTCACCTCGAGGGGCTCTGCTGGGGAGTTCTTCAGTCTCTGTCAATATAGTTAGATTCTTGCTTTATTTTAGCGATCTTTACTATATTCTCTCCAATAACGATACATATCATTATTGTAAAAATATGCTGTTATTTTCGTTGCAAATAACGCATTTTTGGCAAGAAAAATTCCCATACATAAAATTCCTGGGGATTTTTGACTTCTCTCATATGGGCGCTCTTTGTAATGAGTTACAATGGGGATTTCAATTTCAAAAGCGCCATGGGCACTTATTATGGAGAATACGGTATGTATTTTAAAAATATGGAAATTTTTCAGCATATTTTCCTTTATCATCAATAGCATTAGACTAGCACATTGAATGTCATCAATATAAAATGGTACATGCAGTGTATATGAAATAATAAAAAAAACTTAAGATAAAAGTCAATCAAACAAGTTGAGCTCGTGAGTCAACATCAACATCACGATAAAAATAAATGTCACGCAAACAGTGACTTGATAGACATAAAAATGGATACTCTAGATGATTCTATACTGCATCCACAGAGACAACTGCAACTGACTCTACTACAACAGCAAGACCAGAGATCAGAAAAAATCATGATGTACATTTTGCTGAGTTTAGCTGTCGGCTTGGTGATGTTACCTCACATCAATGCAAAATGCGAACCAGGTATTTAAAGACTCATTCAAGCTTTTGAATGAATTGAATGCTTTTGAAATGATGACTTTATTAATTAAACAAAATAAAATAAAGTTTTGAATCTCTAAATTCTACTATTAATACATGGTAGGCTAAAAACGTCAATATTTATTATTTGAGGAAAACGTTTTTAATAATGCATAGATTAAAAAAAAAAATTCTGGAGAAACATGAAACACTTCTTCCTAAAAGGTCATAGATATATAAATCTTCAGAGGTTTTAGGATAAGAAAGATTAACTGCCACTGGGGACTAAACACAAATATACAGTTGTCAAGATATACTTTTTACCTTGATATTAACCCACTTATACCTGACCTAATTAAGGGGATTATCCTCCTTAATCCTGACTACATTTCTTAAAAATCGACGAAAATACATAGTAACGCTGTCAATAAGTGTAGTTTATTACTTATTCAATATAAATATAGAAAACTATATATCAAAATGTAGGGAATTGAATATCCATCAAAGTTATGTAGTTTTTATCAATATTTACATACTAAGGATATGGTAAACAAGTTTCAAAGTTCAATTTTTAAAAATTTTTTTTTTCAAAATCGTTGAAATGAGTTTCAACTGAAAAACATGAGTTACAAAGTTGATCTAAATGTACAGGTTGCTATGACAAACTTTCTCTACATTCAAAGAGCTGTAAAATGCAGTTTATTTTAAGAAGCTAGCCCAACCCTAAGTAAAGATATGACATTTTTAAGTAATCAGCGTTATTAATTTTTTTTCTCGATTTTTCAAAAATATTGAAGACATGTAGAAAAACATTAGAACTCATGTCTTGGGTGTTTAAATCCATACTCAATGGAAAATCAGTAATTCTAGGTGTTGTACAAATATGAAATATGTATTTTCATATAAAATAAGGAATTTAACGTCTCATATTACGTTGTATATGTTTACTTAGACATTTTTCGTGCACAGGTACCTGGCATTGCTTACACCTGTGTTTAGTTACCCCTCTACGTTCTTTCTCCTTAGCATTCTGTCTGCACTCCACACAAGTCTTGTATTTTACATAAAATTTTTCAAGCACATGTAAAGCTGTGGGCTGTGCAGACTGAATGGCTAAGCGAGGGCTGTAATTTGAGTGCCAGTCACCTATAGGAGCAATTGCAAGGTCTTCTTGAAAGCTTCTCAAATCCCCCCAGTTTAAGCTGCCTACAGTATCATAATTTTTTGAATTTTCTTTTGCAATGAGATAACTGTTATATATGCTCAACTGCACAAAGTAAAAAAATATTCTTCTCCACCACTTTTTGGACCTATGGTTGATCATGTGGTACCCAACCATCTGATCACATAAATCTACACCCTTGTAAGTTTCATTATAATCAGAAACAATCTTAGGAACTTGAACCTCTTTTGGTGGTCTTTGCCCATTCTCATTTCTTTGTCAATTCTTTCTCTGAACTTCACCCATTTGAGAGCTACCATGATAATTTGAAAGAAAAAGAACAGGCTTAGTATTCTGCCAATGGCAAAACGTAAGGTCGTCGAACTCAGGTACCTTGTAATCATGCTTTTGTAGTTTCAAATTTTTAGGCAAGAGCTGAGTTGGAAGACCTTTACGGTTTGCACGGACAGTACCCACAGCATTGATTTGAGAGGTAGACAGTTGTTTTAATAAATCTACAGAGGTGTAAAAATTGTCCATTGTTACGAAAGCATTTGATCCCACTAATGGCATGGTCAAGTCATTAACGACACGGAAAGATAGTCCATTTCCATCTGCATTTTGATCTTTCCCAGTGTAAATGTCAACATTATAACAGTAGCCTGTCTTAGATTCACACAGGGACCATAGCTTCACCCCCCATTTGATGGGCTTGGCTAGTAAATACTGGCGAAAGCTCAAGCGTCCCTTAAATTTGACCATCGATTCATCTATGGTAAATTGCCCACGAGGGGTGTAACACTTTTTGAAATTTCCATTTAAATCGTTCATGAATTTCCTGACCTTCCAGGCCTTGTCAGTTTTGTCAATGTTTGGATTGTCATTATCTTCTAAGTGGAGATACCTCCAAATATCACCAAAACGATCCCTAGACATATATATGCAAACATTGGTGGCAAACAGATGCTTCGATTTACGCCAATAGTCCCGCCTGGAAAAAGATTTGAAAAATTGATAAGGACTTAGTGATGTACTTTTGCAATATTTTCTACTATTTATAATAATTTCAACCCCTCCCAATCAAAATAAACTGTCGATTACCTATTTCCTAGTCTCAGTATGCCCATGAACATAGTAATACCCAGCCACGCCTTCAACTCAGGGGGACTTAGGGGGTTGAAATCACGAGGGGCATATTGATTGGTTTCAGCAGTGATGTACTGTAGGAGGCTATCATCAAATATAAGACCAAAAAATGATCTGGTGTTGCATCATGAGGTTCAACAGCTGCTATACCTCCAGACAGCTCTTATATACATTGGGGGGTTGCTCTGTTATGAAAGTTATTGAATCTCCAACCCTCGTCGAAACCGTCAAAAGAATAGTCATCATCGTCATCTGAGTCTTACATGGCCACATCAATGTCACTTCCGATAAAGGAGAGATCGTCAGAAATGTCCGCCATCTTGTTTCACTGTTAGAATCCAGCGTCAACTATTCGATCGTCTTATTTTGACATTTTTTGTAGATTTTCAAAGAAATTGTGTAGTATTTTTTCGTAAACGTAAACAAACAGTAGTGCGCATGCGCTGTGAAAATTATGGGATAGATCGGTCAAGGTCACTGGTTGCTAGGGGCACCCAAATAATTAGTCAGATGCAAGATATTGCCATCTCAGAAGTCACATGTGCATGATGACTTGTGACATCACTGGTTTATAAACATTGATGTCAACAGGTACACCGTTACTATGAGTACCCATGCTCATACTAAAAATATAAGCTAAAAAATAAGATGTCATAACAATGAAGCTTGGTTGCCATGCATATCCAAGTATTTTCTATAATATTGATGTGATGTCATAACAAAAACATAGCATCCGGGACTTTCTACCGTGGTATAAACTCCGTGGTATATACACCGTGGTATATACAGTTGAAAACGAGGCTGCAGCTTGACAATGCAGGAAACAATGAAATACACCCTAATATTTTTAATGATGTGAACAGTTCTTATCCAATGAGAAAGCGAGAAACATTTCAATGATATAATAAATCCTGATAGACTCTTTGATATAATTCAATAACTCCTTGAGTCGGCATGATGAGTCATAATGATGTCACCAAGTATATGACAGTGTGATTTTTGTCTAACAGTCAAATTAACAGAATTTGAAAAATAACACACAAGTATAAAGGACGAGTGTCTTTAAGACCTTATATTAGCCCCCAAGATATTTAAAAGAAATTGTACAGGGTATCAAAGAAGGGACTTTGTTTGATAACCAGATTCAAAAATTAGGTCATTCTGACCTTTATATTTCAAAATATAGGTCATTCTATTAACATGTATAAAATGACCTTTTGAAGGAAATATCACTCTTTTCACATCATTATTGTCACCGTTTCTATTTGTTATCAAAAATATCATCATTATTTACAGTCGTTTTAGACTTTTTTAATTGATCTTCTTGGTGAATAGTGATAAGGCATAATAAATGACATAAAATATAATATGTAAAAATGCAAAAAAATGTTGACTAGTGATTTTCTTTATACTTCAATGAGATGTGTCAGAAATGTGTCAGTAAAGAAAATTGAGTTTATTAATTTATATCAAAATGAGAAAGAACAAGGGGCAATATTAAATAAAAAACACATGAAGTAATTAACAAGTCAAAAATGCATATCAATCGATTATACGTATATTGATCTGCTTTCTTGAGATCAATTGCTCATATACAGTTTGCATTAAAGTGGCAGTAAAATACTGAATTTATTATTTCACAACACAGTAAGGAAGAACAAAGGGCAACATTTGAAAACACATAAAATAAAACAATTTCTAAAAAGGTTACTCTGGACTTTACAAAAATGCTGTACTTCAATCTTTAAAAGTGTAGATGAGCACATTCATGTGTTTGTTCATTATAAGAGACTCTATGAGCCATCATCACCTTCTTCAGATGACAATACTTCAGGCATATCTTTTGAATTTGAAATGTAAATCTAGTTACCAGTATGTATGTCCAATTACGCCCTAGGTTACTTTGCATTTGGTTCCTCCATTTTATCTGTCAAGCGTCAGTCACATTGTTACTGTATGATCACGTGACTTATTTATGTATAGTCAATGTGTCATTCAACAATCTCTTCAAAGAATGCTATTAATTTTTTAGGAAATGTTTCGCGGACATTTGCAACTAAATACACATTGTAATAATTAAAATATTACATGACAATACAGGAAAAAGTACTCAAAATATACATGACATTTATTTAATGCATGTGTACTATGTAGGTCAACTCCAATTTATTATTTCATTTATTTTGTCTGCTTATTTATGTATATTGATTGATCTGACCTGAAATTATGCACTGAAATAATAAAGCCAGTTAAATTCAACCAATAAATGAATAGCACTGAAAAAGTGAACTAAAATTGAAAAATCACAACGTTCCCAGGTTTTTTGTGCAAATTCGAAAATCGACAAATGGAAAGATTTTATTACTTTACTTTTCTAACATGAGAATACTGCTGTCACTGTCATGTTTGGACTGAATTAAGTATCTCATCTAGGGTTTTTTAATACATATTCGAACATGACTGTATTCATGCCTTCTATAAACTGTAAACAAAGTCAACATTTCACCCAGGGTATATTCGCGAACAAAACCCCTGGTTATAAGTGTGTGACGTCATAACGGCGGGTCCTAGTAATGGCGGATCATGATGAATATTTGAAACATTTTGGTGAGTTTTCATGTTCGAATCATAATATAGACCTCAGAGCAGGGGTAAATATCGTTGAATACACCCCTTGGAGCTAGGCACAAAAGCTTGCCCTGCGGGGTGTATTCGACAATATTACCCCAGCTCTTTGGTCTATATTTCTTAATTACATACTGGATACAAAGTGAGTATCATATCAATTCTTTATTTTTCACAATCAAAGTAGTAAAAAAATCATTTTTCTACGTGTACTCAAAACAAAGTTGCCAACCATTCAATGCTACACATGTATACTATTTGTTTCAGCATACTACCTGGGTTGCTTTGTTGATGCAGCTTCACGTGATATTGAATATGGTTTTGCATATTTCCCAGGCATGACCCTTGAACTCTGCCAAGAACATTGCCGCAACTTAGGTACATATTCACACTACTATACCCCCATACTGTATCCTGTATTCCTTTAAAAGAAGTACAGGCTACAGGGAAGTTGCAAATGGAGGACGTTTGTTTATTTCCATAGTTCTGAATGTATACTAGATTTTACACATATTCTAAGTGTTCTACTATACATTGTATAGATTCATCGAGCAGTTTGCAACGTATTATTACCAGAAAAGCCCAATGGACAAAGATAGAGAATACCCGCTCCATTTGCAACTTAACCGTACCCTGTATCATTTTAAAATGTGGTCACGTGGTAGGGTAGTGTGATATTAACACTCCTTTCTAGTTTATATTACTCAATCACAACTTGTGCTTTGTATCAAAGTGATTACTCCATGGAGCAGATGTTATAAAATCAAAAAAAAGTGAAATATATTTTCTTGTAATAAGAGACGAAAATTGATCCATAAAATCTTTTCATTCACATTTAGTTTTTTATATGATTGCCTTGTTCTGGCGATGAAACTGGTAACTACAGTACCTACTAGCACCTATGTGAATGCATTATGAACCAGAACAACGGCAACGCCAAAGCGTAGCGAATCCCATCGAACAGAAATGGCTGGCATTTTTACATTTGAAATATATAGCAAATATCATAAAATAACACCCATAAGAAAGGCCACCATTTTCAAAATGGTTGATCACTAGCCAAGTTGTCATTAGAAGAAGAAATATGCTTTTAAGTAGCCACATATAAAATTCTTAAAAAATCGCCAATGCTGGCCATTTTTTAAAATGGCCGCTAACAACCGAAAATTTCATAAGACAGTATGCAATCCTTATGAGTATTCACATATAAAATATGAACAAAATCGCTCTATTACTTTTTGAGTTATAACCAGAACAACGGCAACGCCAAAGCGTAGCGAATCCCATCGAACAGAAATGGCTGGCATTTTTACAAACGAAGCACAAATATCATAAAAGAACACACCAGAAAGGCCACCATTTTCAAAATGGTTGCTCACTAGCCAAGTTGACATCAGAAGAAATAATATGCTTTTAAGTAGCCACCTCTAAATTTTTTTAAAAATCGCACACATGCTTGTAAAACAACACACATAAAAATGGTGGCCATTTTTCAAAATGGCCGACTACTCCCTAAAGTTGTATTAGACAATGTGCCATGCTTAAAGTATTCACATATCAATTATGAACAAAATCGCTCCACTACTTTACGAGTTATAGTAAAAAACGTTAAAATGGCGGCCATTTTTCAAAATTGTTTTGAAAATGGCCACCTTCTACCAAAAGTGTCATAGGACAGTGTGCCATGCTTATAGTATTCACATACCAAATATGAACAAAATCGCTCCACTACTTTTCAAGTTATAGTGAAATATGTTAAAATGGCGGCCATTTTTCAAATTTATTTTCAAAATGGCCGCCTTCTACCAAAAGTGTCATAGGACAGTGTACCATGCTTATAGTATTCACATACCAAATATGAACAAAATCGCTCCACTACTTTTCAAGTTATAGTGAAATATGTTAAAATGGCGGCCATTTTTCAATTTTTTTTTCAAAATGGCCGCCTTCTACCAAAAGTGTCATAGGACAGTGTGCCATGCTTATAGTATTCACATACCAAATATGAGCAAAATCGCTCCACTACTTTTTGAGTTACAGCAAAAATTGTAAAATGACGAGTAAAGGCCGCCATTTTTCAAGATGGCTGCCATGTGCTTCTTTAATATCTACATTTGTAGCATTATTAACGTCCTTTATAATTTTTTTACATTTAAAACATATTGCTAATACAGTTTTACATATTGCACCTAAATTACTGTAAAATCGTCACTAAAATGGCCGCCATTTTGAAATGAGCGGCCATTTTGAAAATCGGCTTTCGAGCAGAACTTCTAACCCCATAGGGTATATGTGTACAAAATATGAACAAAATCTGGCCAACCGTATTTGAGTTATTGCCCGGACGGACGGACGGACAGACGGACGGACGGACGGACGTACGTACAGACGTACGTACGGACGGACGGATGGACGGACGGAGGCGTTCCCTATATCCCTACGAACTTCGTTCGATGGGATAATAAAAAATGTAAAATAACACACATAAAAATGGTGGCCATTTTTCAAAATGGCCGACTACTCCCCATTAAAGTATTCACATATCAAATATGAACAAAATCGCTCCACTACTTTACAAGTTATAGTAAAAAACGTAAAAATCGTGGCCATTTTTCAAAATGGCCACCTACTACCCAAAATACCATTAGACATTGTGCCATGCTTAAAGCATTCACATACCAAATATGAACAAAATCGCTCCACTACTTTTTGACTTACAGTAAAAAATGTAAAATAACACACGTAAAAATGGCAGTCATTTTTCAAAATGGCTGCCTACTACCCAAAATGTCATTAGACATTGTGCCATGCTTAAAGTATTCAAATACCAAATATGAACAAAATCTCTTCACTACTTTTTGACTTACAGTAAAAAATGTAAAATAACACACGTAAAAATGGCGGCCATTTTTCAAAATGGCCGCCTACTACCCAAAATGTCATTAGACATTGTGCCATGCTTAAAGTATTCACATACCAAATATGAACAAAATCGCTCCACTACTTTTCAAGTTACAGCAAAAATCGTTAAAAGACTTTTTTGAGCAGCCATTTTACAAGATGGCTGCCATGTATTTCTTCTATATTTATATTTCTAGCTTAATCAATGTTTTATATAACTTTTTTACATTTAAAACATGTTGCTTTTACAGTTTTATATGTAGTACCTAAATTACTGTGAAATCGGCACTAAAATGGCCGCCATTTTTTTTTGAGCAGCCATTTTGAAAATCAGTTTTCGAGCAGAACTTCTACTCCCATTAGGTATATGTATACAAAATATGAACAAAATCGGGCCAGCGGTATTTGAGTTATTGCCCGGACGGACGGACGGACAGACGGACGGACGTACGTATGTACGTACGGACGGACGGACGGACGGACGGACGGAGGCGTTCCCTATATCCCTCCGAACTTCGTTCGATGGGATAATTAACTTACAGGTTATAAATATACTGGAGCTCAAGCCGGATCCCAATGTTTTTGTGATAATGATTTTGGAAAATATGGATCAAAACCTGATGGAGAGTGTTCCTGGAAGTGTGTTGGAAACAATCAACAAAAGTGCGGAGGACATTTTAGAAACTCTGTTTATTTAGTCCGATAAAAATGTCAAATAAAATCCAAAGAAATAAATACTGGATGATACACAGTAAAATGATTTCAAACTACTTTATATGAAAAATGAATACTGTAATCGCCATATTTAGCGCCCACCCCTAGCGCCTATCCTGCTTCACAAAGTTCAAAAAATATCGAGGAATGACCAAGTATTAACGAATACATGTACATCAGAAAAAAGAAATAAAGTGGGCAATAATAAAGTATGTATACTATGCATTTTGAAATTTGATGAATCCTCTTGATAAATATCTATCATTTGGTACTTTCCACATCATATTTAACTAATTTTGTCTCAAAATAGTCCATGATGAATGAAAGAAATGTTCATGTTTAAGTTTTGTTTCGGCATTTAACCAAGAAAGGATCTGCGCAGGTTTTTCTTTTAAACATTTCTCCTTATTCTCATGACTTTTACACAACATTTACACGAAAAATGATAACCTATCATTAAATTGAAAAAAAGGTATAACTTTTGATTGATATCCAAGTTGAGTGGAAATAATGAAGATAATCGGGGAAAACAATTCCTTCGATACGGGGGGCTCCTCTGAGGATCTTCAATATTGTTTAGTTAGATTTTTGGTTCATTTTAGCGATCTTTACCATAACAATTCATATTATTATTGTACAAAATATGCTGTTACTTTGTTCTGATGTTGCAAATAAGATTAACATTTATCCCTCATTGTATGAATATACTACATTGTACTTCAACTCTGCATGAGAGGGCACATTTAGGTTCCCAACTTTATATGAATTAAAAGGTCCAGGTGGATTTTCTCTAGAATACTACTAACATGCTGCCAGATTATACATTGTACCCAAAGGACTATCACAAAAAGAAAAAATCAATAAAGGGGTTTGACACCTTGTCCTTGGATGTGTTTTTGTATTTTATATTTACCGTATTCTCTGTAATTAGTACCCGGGGGATTTAGAAAATTCAAAATACATTCTCAGTTTATTAGTTCAGAGGCACAAAACAAAAACAAATGTAACGCAATGGTTATTACCAGCAGAGATAACCAGATTCTATCTGGTTAAGGAATTCTGCAACTGTTTCAACTTTAAAATTATGATTACAAATAAAACTGCCTTTTGTTTTCATACTTTTTGCCTCTCAGAGGTTCTGCTAAAACCCCTCGTAATGTGAGAATAATGGTGTTTACTTACATTAAGCCATGTTTCTAGAGAGTTCAGTAGACTTGGTAGAATGGCATGCTGTTGTAATGAAGGTAGCCATGACTCTGGTCCCCCAAGTAACATGATCAGTTCTTCCAATAGACATGTACATGAGATTTGTAACTGGAATACAATAAAACAAAATAAAATGGGTTTATGACATAGTATTTCATGTTTGCTTTAATACAGCTAGAAAAAGATAATAAGGGTAAAGTCAGTAAAAAATATGACACTAATATAAGTGAGAGGGAGATAAGATTTAACCAATATGGTCGGGATGGGGGGGAGCCTTAGCATTTTTTAATTAGTTTTGCAAACATATACTTTAATCCATCCAATAATGAGCAGTTTGGCATACCATACTTAACAAGAACACAAATGTGTACAATATGTCCCCACCTATGGGTGATCCTGTCAAATGGTTATCCTAAAAATGAGTAGACAAGACTTTACCGACACAATTTGAGGACGGAGATTCCAAAATGGCCACCTTAAAATTTACCAAGAATGCCAAAAAATTAGTCAGTTCTAGATTTTCATACTAAGAACCACCCCTGAAAATTTGAAATTGATCCGCCACACAGTTAACCAGAAAACATGTACTAAGAACCTCCCCTGAAAATTTGAAATTGATCCGTCATACAGTTAACCAGAAAACATGTAAACAAGACTTTACAGACAAGATTTGAGGACAGAAAATCCAAAATGGCTGCCTTGACATTTATCCAGAATGCCAAAAACTAATCTGTTCTAGATTTTCATACTAAGAATCATCCCTGAAAATTTGAAATTGATCTACCAAACGGTTCACCTGAAAATGCGTAGACAAGACTTTACAGACAAGATTTTAAGACGGAAAATCCAAAATGGCTGCCTTGACATTTACCCAGAATGCCCAAAAACTAATCAGATCTAGATTCTCATACTAAGAATCATCCCTGAAAATTTGAAATTGATCTACCAAACGGTTCACCTGAAAACGCGTAGACAAGACTTTACAGACAAGATTTTAGGACGGAAAAATCCAAAATGGCCGACAATAAAAAAGTGATTATGAGTTTTTGCTGAAATCTTTTTACAAAATTATCACATATAACTACTGTTAACAATAACATAAGCTTTTACAACAAAGTACACCTGAAATTATTTATAAAGCTACTAAAAAGTTAAAGTATGAAAACTGAAAAACACCATTCAATATGATACAAAGTATTATCGTGCGCTAACTTTTCTTAAAACATTCAAAATGGCTGACATGACTGAGCTAACAGGTCCAAAACCTAATCAGATCTAGAATGAAGTGAGCTGAACAAGATGTTAACGTTTTAAAAGCAACTGTGAAGCCGTTTTTCTTAAAGTTTGCAGACAAGGATTTTAGCATTTGACTTCAAAATGGCCGACAGGAAGTAGGTATCGAGTAAATTTTTTTTCATCCACATCTGTATGCACTCATAAGTTATCCCTGAAAATTTGAAGGTGATATCTGTAGCGGTTTTGGAGAAAACTGCCGGACGTACGGACGGACAGACAGACGGACAGACAGACGGACAGACAGACAGACGGACAGACGGACGCGCCTAGGCCGACAATATGGCCCCACACTATGTGGTGGGGACATAATAACATGCCATCAAGTCTCACTCTACACGTTAATAGGTCCCTCTACTCAATCTTCTAACTATAATCGTTATATAATCTCAACTTACCTTAAGTTTGAGCTCGATGGCATTGTTGTCATCTTTTCCCATTGTTGGGTTGGGAGGCACTAGTTGGTAGGTGCTCTGGGCCAGTACATCACATACAACCCCTACCAGGTTAGACAAAACTGATGGCTGGCAACCTACAATAAATGGAAAAATTATCATGACATTCATAGATTTGTCAAAATTAATTCTATGGCGTACTTTTTCCAAGGGTTACTGCATACTGACCTATTGACACTCGTGCCTTGGACCTAATATATCACCAAAGCTCCGAGAGCACAATCTTGGGGTAGGTCAAAGGGTTCAATACTGCACCTTATATCTTACCTATGTTAAGTTTTTTGATGTACTGTACTATGTGAAGCAAAGCACCAAATACACCTATCTGTACAGGAGGGATCAAGACCTCACTATTCGAACAACTCAAGCCTATGTAATACTACACTTTATAACTCACCTATGTTATGTTTTTTGATGTACTGTACTATGTGTAGCAAAGCACCAAGGACACCTATCTGAACAGGAGGGGTCAAGACCTCACTGAACTCAAGCCTATGTAATACTACACTTTATAACTCACCTATGTTATGTTTTTTGATGTACTGTACTATGTGTAGCAAAGCACCAAGGACACCTATCTGTACAGGAGGGATCAAGACCTCACTGTTGGAACAACTCAAGCCTAGCAGCTCCTCTAAATCTTTAATAGTCCCTTCCCAGTCTTTAATATGCCTAAAATATCAAATTAAACATGTCTGTATACAAGAAATCTAGAAAATACTTGTACCTTTTACAATCTGTAATATTGTATATATTTTGCATAATTTTGCCCAAAAACAGAATTCATGCAAACTCGTTATCAACACTAATGGATATTCATGATAATACTGGAGGAGATAAAATCATGTTTTATAAAAGTGTTTACTTTGAAAAATTAGTTGGTTGAGCTGGAATAATTTCACTTTATTAACAAGGTATTATATTACTATTACCTTATCCAATTCTTCAAGAGAGTAAGATAGAGGGCGCTTGACACAGAAGCCAGATTCATTCCTACCATACTCACAGAGCTGGCAAACTGAAATTCAAAAACAAACAGTACCTTGATTAAAGTACCTAGTAAGATAAAGGAGTCAATGTATGACATAAGCAATGACCTGTAGGCCACAATGTAGGTCACAATGTAATATTTACCATCAAAATGAATGCATGTATTGAAATATGTATTGTACATGTATGATGTTTTGTGCATAAAACAAATATAAAATAGGCAGGCCCGTAGCCAGGATTTGCCAAGGGGGGTTCAGTTTTCAAAAATTTCCAGGGGGGTTCACATTTGACAATTTAGGCCCAAATATGGTCAAAATCACTTGAAAAGTGCTCAAAATGGTGAAAAACTGCATGATTTTGAAAGAATTTTTGGCCAGGGGGGGGGGGGGGGTTCGCCCGAACCCTGCGAACCCCCCCCTGGCTACGGGCCTGATAAGTGAAGGTTTAATAAGCTGAATTTAATGGAGAAAAATGTTTGAGAATCTCTAAATTTGATATCATTAATGTGAATGAATTTATACATAACATGATATATTACTTGAGATTTCATTCCCTCCAATAGATGGCCCATTATCTGACATTTAGTTGCTCCATCTATCTGTAGAGGTTGAGACGAATGTGACGCAAGGATAATCAACAGAGATCGCCAAGAGTTGAGGAATATAACAACAGGATGCTCCGCTAATAGGGTGTCTATGACATCATCATCCTGCTGGGTGTTTTGGAGGACATCTCTTAGGTACTGGAAATGAAAAGTATCAATTTTAGGGTATTTTCACAAGATATAATAGGTTAAAAGCCATTGAAGTTAGCTTTTAAACAATTCATAAAGAAAATGTAAATTATTTTTAAAACTTCAACCATGTACCTACACACTAATGCCGTGGTCACGTTTGCTCCGATTTTCAGCACTGGCGCCCAGCCAATGAGTATTTTGTTCAAAATTGAATACAATTTTGAACGAAATACTCAATCAGCCGGGTGCCGTAGTAAAAATCGGAGCAAATGTGACCACAGCATTATACACAGTATTATCAGCCAATACAATAATCTCAAAATATTAATTGACCAGATAAATGTCTATCTATCTTATTTGAAAATAAATACCTTTGACCAATAGAGGAGCCTCTTCTGACTAGAGATATCTTCTAGGACTTTCTTCAGGTTCTTGTCCAGTTTAGCTCTGCAATACAATGTACCTATGAAGGAAGTCTCAAGTATTGTTCATCCAATGAAGAATGGCATTTTTTGCTACAATTAGGGTAACTTCTTTTTTTACTGATCATTTACTGTTATCTTAAACACATTTAAGGTTACCAAGAGAAGTCCAGAATAGCAATCACCTCATAAACACAACTTTAATTCTACTACTTTAAAGGACGCATTCATGTACATACTCCATATATCAATACTATATTATGCATTTATAGCTTGTTTGATACTATACAGGTATGTAGTAGCTTCAATGTGAAAAGTACCAAGAGCAATGATCAGATAAGCAATATTTTTCAATAAATATATTTCCATAATAAATATCTTATACATACTCAGGTGTGACATAGAGTTCCATTGCTAATATTCTTAATATAAATCCACAAGTCTTTAGCTCCAATAGAGGTAGTCCAGCGTTGTCCTTTAGAGGTCGGAGGTCACGCATGATTGACACACAGACACATCTCCAGAATGTTTCTCTGTAACACAGGTTTAGGTTAAGCTAATTGTGAACATGTGCGCTAAGTTAGGTTAACGTGTTAAATTGACTTAACAAATTACAACAAAATATGTAATGATACCAAAATGTTCAGACATTTCGAAATTTATAAATCATCAATCTAAAATTTCTATGAAAAATATGATTAACTGTCATTCACTCAACCCAAACTGTCTTGATTTGTGACTGGAACTATTTTGATCCAACCAGAGGGTGTCCCATCTAAAAAGTCACATGATTCCTCTCGATAATAATCTGATGAAATCTGGTATGTTCTGATCAATTAAAATGACCTTAAAGATGTTATAACCGTTAAGTGGAATAGAATGCTTACTTTTCTCTCAGAACAGCCATGGCCGTCTCTCTCCTACCATTCCACAGGGCATGTAAGAACTCTAATGAGGCACACAGTAGCTCAGATGGGCAGTAGTGGGTCAACTACAACAGAAAATGGACATTATTTCCTTCAATAACTTCTTGTTAACTTCAACAACTTCTTGTTTACTTCAATAACATCTTGAGGAAGAAGGGAAGAAATAACCAATGGCAAAACTGAGGGTCAAATGGTACAATAATATAAGGAAGAGATGAAAATGAAACAAGTTACTGAAGGAGAATTTAAACAATCAACTGGGGCATAAACTAAGCAGTAAAGGAGAAATGAAGGAGAAATGGAAGAAGTAATGTCTGAAAAATTTAACAAACAACTGAGAATAAATTTAGAAACAGCAGGGGAAAAAGAACAAGACGAGAAAATGAGCCTCTGTCCTACATTAGTCATCATCATCATTCAAAGGATGCTCAGTACTATAACAATACTATAATGATAATTACCTGTTTTCTTTCCTCAAACATATCCAATATTGCTTGTAGGCAACTGGTCCTGCCTAACTGTAAGCCAGGGGGTGTTGTATCCACACTGGCGCTGGTGCCAGCCACTGGGTTAGCATCAGGAGGTGCTGGGCACACATTGATGAAGAGCTCTATCAACCCTGGCTGGGTATCGACACATTCAGACAGTAGCTCTAGGATAACCACCTTTAGTCTAGGTTGCTGCAAATGTGTATTAAGTATGTCATAAATAACTTATATTAGTATAAATGGACCAAAGGCTCTAAAATAGTATTTGAATAAATAAACATGCCCAAATATTATATAAGAAAAATGAAATATCCATCTAATTTTATACCAGTTTTAATTTATTCATTAAATCATCATCTAATAACTGGGTACTAGTAATTCAAATAAAATCTGAATGTGAGAAAATATAAAATTATCAAGGCATAATCTAAGCCCTGGCTCAGGCCTAAAAAATACCAGGCAGGTTGCATAATGCACAAACCTCCGTGAAACTCTGTAAGCGTGCAAGATAGATGTCTCTGATAGCCTCTGAGTCATTACCCAAACATGCCATTATGGACATAGGAGATACCTGGTGAAAGAAATGGTAATCAAAGTTAAACATTACAAACAATTTTACTGTATAATACATTTAACCATAATTGAAAATTAGTTGTTATTCGTAATTTTAGGCAGATCAAACTTCGAGAAAGAATCAATACAACTTATTTCATAAAGAACTGAAGTTTCTATCTATAATTAAACTCCAGTAATCCCCAGGATTAATCCCTGAAATAATCGTGTAAATATCTAAATAAAAAATCATTACCATAGCTAATCTTTTGAGCAGTAGAGTGGAAAGTCTTGGTAACCTCTGATCATGATAATGGTATATATACTGGGCTATAGTAGCCACAACATGTCTGTGACTGCGATTGGCTGGCTGGGAAGACAAGGCGTGTTCTACTGGAGAGATTGACAGGTGGGCAGGGCGAAGAAGAAGAAGGCGGTTCAATACAGAGAGAGCCAATCGAATCATATGTATCAGTTCCACTCCTCCCCCTTCAGTTAAACTGGAAAATTATGGAATGGGCAAAAATGTCAACATTCATATCATGGCATGCGCCATTCTTTTAAAGTTCACTCTAAGACTATTCATTCGCAAACTTTAAGTGAATTTAATGTTTGGGATGTAGAATTTTGATGTAAAATTGTGAACATCTTTTATTACACATCAATGTTGTTGTATTCATGTCATCTTAAAAGCCATGAGAAAATAAGGAAACATGGCTCCCTTACCTTCCTTGGTAACCAATGGCAACCTCTATAGTGTCCACCCCAGTTGATATAATCTCCAGGAGGGTGCGGCCTGCCTCTGTATACAACAGACTGTACACGCAAACATCTCGTAGAGACAAGTCTGTACTTCTGAAATAATTGCCAAGGTGCATATACGAAATACATACATGTGCGGGAGTTTCAATAAATAGAATTTTTGACAACAGACAAAACACTGAATGTTAAACCTTTAAGTGAAATTCTTAGAAATTATAAAATAAAATAATATTTAAAAAATAGGCATTTTGTCCTCTCCTGAAACAATGAACTTTTTCTCTGGCACCAATATGCGAAACAGACAAGTAACTTCAGGAACTTGATCAAGTATCAATTAGCCATTTTTAACAAGAGTAACAAGAGAGCCCAATTTCAATAAAGTATGCATTTTACAAGAAATATCAATATGACCAGCAGACCCTCTTACCTCGCTGTGTTCTGTGAGTCTGATCCAAGTGTATTGAGAATTTTGTGAAACAGTTCCAAACATTTCTGACCTGTAAAAGAGGGGGTAAAATTTTTAGGTTTTATGTGTGAAGGAAATGGCCTTTTTAGGTTTAATCATCTGTGATTTCAAAAAGCAATATTTTCAAAAATTGAGAGAGTATTTTCAAAAAAATGATACTTTCAAAAATGGACAAAGGGGATCTTTTCAAAAATCAACGAAGAGCATATTTTAAAAAATTGACAATGAGCATATTTTCTATACATTTCAGACTGCATTTAATATCATTACCTATCTGTTCTCGACTAGTGATATCAAAGTATCGCCATTTATGGAAAGATGGAAATATATCTCTGGTTAGAAAGACCAAGCAAGCCATCATTTCAGTCTCTCTTCTAGCCTTATACAGTGGCTGGAACAAAACATAATAATGAAAAATATATACATATTCATCAATTTCTAATAAACAATTACTCTCTTACAAATTTCATTTAGTCTATGCAAAAATGAGAAATTTTACAAGTAAATTTTCTATTAATTACAATACAAACCTATTCCATGACATATGCTAATACCCCTAATTTGGAAAAATGGGCAAGTCCAAAAACAACAGGATAACCTGAATCCCTCTAGGTCAACTGACCTAACACCCCTTTATATGCTATATCTTCATAATTGTACGCAGTAAAACTTAAAAATACTGCGGGGAGGCCGGGTGGGCCTATGGTCATGGAATAGGTTTGTATTGTAATTAATAGAAAATTTACTTGTAAAATTTCTCAATTACATACAATCCAACCTATTCCATGACATATGCTGAATTAAAAGTAAAGGAGGTGGGACCCCGATTAAGCCCAAAAGTATAATAAATATATATACACAAGTACTTATAATAAAAAGTAAAATTCATATTACCAACAAGTACTCTGATCTCACAAACCATAGTGATCCCTAGTAGAACAGCCACCATCATCCATTGTAAGGCAGAGGCTGTGACACATCTGTAACACTGTTATTGTCCTATCATAGTGAGCAGTCTTAGCCATCTAAGGGTAATGACCAACTCCTATGAATAGAGACTGGTTAACCAAGGATGGGCCGTTTAACCAAACGAGGCAACCTTGCAGTTCTTCAAGGGTCCAGGTCACAAGCTAGTTGAGTTGAACCCTTCTGCAAAACAGTTCAGCTACACATCTGGGAGACTGTATGTCCTTTCACAGTGAGTATCCTTACCCATCTAAGGGTTGCAAATAACTCCTATGAATAGAACTGGTTAACCAAGGATGGGCCGTTTAACCAAACGAGGCAACCTTGCAGTTCTTCAAGGGTCCAGGTCACAAGCTAGTTGAGTTGAACCCTTCTGCAAAACAGTTCAGCTACACATCTTGGAGACTGTTATGTCCTTTCACAGTGAGTATCCTTACCCATCTAAGGGTTGCAAATAACTCCTATGAATAGAACTGGTTAACCAAGGATGGGCCGTTTAACCAAACGAGGCAACCTTGTAGTTCTTCAAAGGTCCAGGTCACAAGCTGGTTGAGTTGAACCCTTCTGCAAAACAGTTCCGCTTACACAAGAACTGGATAGACAAGGAATGGCTGTGTACAAAATAAAGACAACCCAAGTCCACCCAGTGTTACTTCCAATCACCAGACTACAGTGCAATACTGAGTTGGTAACAAGTTGCAGAGTACTTAAAGTTGTATAAAGTTCTTGAAGATGTAGACCCACCTGCAGCTTGGATGAGATATACTTGAGATAATCCAAGCCATTGTTGTAGTTCTTGTCAGTGTAGACAAAGGCATCATCCTTTCATCCATTGGAATTCTAGGAAGCTGCCGATAAATCAACTACCATACTTCACAGCACAGGGTCCTAAAGGAACCAGTCTTGCATACAAAGTGAGGTGGTACACACAACATCTTGTCTAGTCTCTGCTCTCAGAGTTGGATGTTAGTTGACTAAACATCAAGTCTGGACCAGCGATGATCATAAAGCCGTTTCAGCCAACTTGTAGAATGGTTTAACGACATAGAACAATACCACTACACATCTGCTAAGTGCTTCTTGTCTTTTGAATCCATAACAAAGTTACATGGAGCAAGACACCTCCGTAGACCCAGTGGCACATCAAGCACAAAGTAGAACAGCATACAGGTCCATACTTATCTATAAAGGATTAGTATGGAGATGAATCTAAAGGTGGTTGGAAACAAGCTTGCATTTGTTGGTAAACTTGTTAGACATCTTTAAGAAGATGAGGATATCACTGTTATGATTGTCTATAGTGCCAACAGAGCATAACAGAAAGTATTCTACTGCCATCAAAGCACTGCTAAGTGTTGTTCCCACAAAGAGCTTGGCTTGGAATGCAACCTTTAATTGTTGTATTCGGCATTGTAGTTGATAACTATTGGATTGTGGTTAGAACATCCATCTGTCCAGGTTGTAAACAGCAAACATCATAGCTAGTGGTGCATATTGACATACTACTGCAGAAGAATTCAGAAACTCACTGGATCAAAAAAAATTCTTGGCCTGGAACCTAAAACTTTCAAATGTTCTTCACATGCTTGCAAAAGACAGACTAGTGGTATCTTCAATGGATAGTACATCTATCTGTCTATAAGAGTATAACAGCATTGAACGTAGATTCTGCTACAAAGGGAAGCACTACTAGTATAGTATGAGAGTATAGTAGTGCTAGATCAACCAAAATCTGTGTCCAAAAACGTAACCTTTAACTTCATCCAGGTTTGTAGTTGGCAGCACTGGTTGACAAGAATAGTCAGCTTTTCTCCCGGGTCTGTCTAAAGCTACCAAGAGCATACATCATGGATGTAGGTGTATAGGAACACTACTGCAGTATGTAGTAAGGTGTAGTGCTGGATCCACAAAGTTCTTGACTTGGAGCATAACCTTTGTAGATCAAACTTGGCTTGGAGTTGAAACTCTAGTATCAACAGCATATACATCAGGCCCGCATGGTCATCGAAGTACTACTGCATGTGTCTACCAGTCAATTGTTGGATCCATACAACGCTTGGTCCAAGAACATTACTTTTCAGTAGTCTTAAGCCAAACTTGCAGTTGCTCAAGGGAAAAAACTATATCATAAGTTTATCCAATTGGTTAAAACTTCCAGCATTTTACTAGTTAAATAGTAGTATAAGTACTATGAACTAGTAATAATATAAAACCAAATGAAGTCTGGACTGGAGTGAAACCTTAAAGCAATCCAGGTCCAAAAAGCCCAAGATTAATTTCACAAATAAAGTGACTTGTAGTTTCTCAATGGAAAAAACAATATCATAAAACATGATTAGTTTATCCAATTGGTTAAATTTACCAACCTGTTCTACTTAAATAGTAGTATACGTACTATGAACATGAACTAGTAATAAAATAAGACCAAAAGGAGTCTGGAACTGGAGTGATACCTGAAGGAAATCCAGGCCCAAAGACCACAAAGATGAATCCCACAATAAAAGTGACTCGCAGTTTCTCAGGGGAAAAAACTATATGATAAAAAACATGGTCAGTTTATCCAAGTGGTTAAAACTACCAGCCTTTTACTAGTTAAAAAGTAGTATTAGTACTATGAACATGAACTAGTAAAAATATAACACCAAATGAAGTCTGGAACTGGAGTGAAACCTTAAAGCAATCCAGGCCCGAAAACCACAAAGGCAACTTTCACAATCAAAGGGATGTGCTTTCAATATTAGATGAAAACCACCTTGTTTGAAAATAATAACCAATCCATGAATGAATAAGTACTATGGTTATGAATAAGAACGAAAATGAAAGAAAACAGGCTCCAGATAATAAAAATGAGAGCCCATCACTTAGAAGCATGTTTAAAACACAAGATTCATAGTATAAAGAACCTGAACCGATGTGTAGAATCCTCTCTTCTACTGTTGATTGAATAATATAAAATTATATTTCAATCAATTGACTCATGATCTTATCAATTTAAGACAAGATTCAAACATGTGTGAAGGTACACTGCTTATAAAGAAACATATAGTTACTTAGAAAATATGCATGAAACCAATCAATACCAGAAAAGGAGTGATTGATAAGTAGCTGTTCAAAAGTATGAAGCATATTTTAAGGTGAGCCACTCCATAAAAAAATGTGGTTAGGGTAAAACTAACCAAAAGATTCTAAGACATAGAGTGGACCTGAGATATGTAGATAAACAATAATGTAGATCTCCATAAAGAGACACAAAAGTACAAACAAACAAAAAAAACTTAGTAAAAATTATCCTTGTAAAATTCAAAATAATGAAACAAGATTTGAAAACCAAGATATCCAAAATGATTGTAGAACAAACATCCTATGCCCTGGTATAAATAAAGAATGAATATGTTGTGACCAGAAGGCATTAATGAGCCATTCAATGTATCTTAAAGTAAGGCTTCTGTAAACTAACTAATTTTACACGAATGTAAAATTAGACCTAAAATTAGTTGATGAATAAGAAATACAAATGTAAAAGCTGAGTGTATCTGTAAGCAGAAAACAAACAGAACATAGAAAACAAGTGATGTGAAGAGTAGCAAGTGAATGAAACGTTCACATCTCTTAAATTGTCAAAAAACTAATATTAAAGATCTAATAGCAAAGGTTTTGCAAAAATAAATCAATGCAGTGTAAAACAAATGTATGTATAATGAAGAAATAAATATTTAATGAAAAAAATAGATATGTGTTTGTAATATTGGTATTAACTTAAGATTAAAAAGTGTCACTATCTCTTTCATTTTTCAACAAATATAGGCTCACGTGACATATGACGCGGGGCAGTCAATTTTGATCTATCGTAGACCATATCAGTATCAAACTGCCGATATTTCAACCTTGTCTTGCGAGGCCATTTTTATTTGAAACATCTTGAATTTGGTGTCAAAATAAAGCTGGTCACGCCCACTTTCAGAGTTATCAATGAATCATTTACTACGACTACTATATTCATTTAGGAGGCGTGTAAAGTTAACCAATCAGAAAGACAATTGCTCCATATATGACAGTTCATTAACATATTCAGTGTTTACTATTGTTTTTCGCGTCATGACAACACGAGTAGTAACCAATCAAAATGCCGTATTTTATCACGTGAGTTCAGAGTGACATGCACGACATGTAAGTTTAGTCTGAGCTGATCGCGATGTTGAACAATTTCTTCTCGGAATTTGTCCAGAGAAATCAGCGATTCTAAATTAAGGTAGGATCTCCCATTTCTTCCTGTACAAGTTTTAACTTATCTCTATCGAATCCTAAAGTTTTGGATGAAGATATGAAGCATACGTTTAAAAACGAAGCGATTAATTTGACGATCTGATTTTGCAATTTGCAATGGCCAATTTACTGCAAGTCTGCGTGTATTTGACAAGAGATAGCGCCAAGTCTTGTATCCGAATGCTTGTTAAGCCACTCAAAAACAAGATCCATATTTTCTAAATTTGATAACTTTGCAGAGAGCCCGTTTTCATAACCTGTTTTCCGCGTCTAAATTCAAACTGAGTAGGATTATAGGATCGCTGGGATTCTCAGTCAATGGCAACGGGTCTTCATTCCAGAACGCACATTTTTTTAGTTGATTCTCCGTCATAGTACTTGTCTAAAGTCCATGTCTGCTCTTTTACTGGCATACTTGGACATAATAACACCCTCTCGCCGATTTATATATAGCAATTTCCCAGAACCCGGGAGTCAGAATCGCTGATGTTTGCCATATTGAACATGTTGAAATATGTACTGTAATATCTGTAATACTAGGCATTGCCTGCTACGCGTAAGGGTCATGTGACTAGCGCGATACAGGAAAAATGGGGAATTTCGAAACAACAATTTTTGGGCACTTTTATTGCAAATTTCAGGTATTTATAAGTGTTTGTGGTATAAAATATAATCCGCAGACATAAATGAACATCCAAACTACATATTTTATTACGTTTTGGAGCCTTTTTTGCTTTTAAAATGACATCTTTAAATTAATTGACTGCTAAACCACACAATTCCATAAAGTGCTGGAACCAAGAACCCTACAAAGGGTGTAAAGTGATTGTGAATAAAGATGAGAATTAACTACATCTAGGAACAATGCAGATTCAATCCAACTGAAAAATATGTTCTCTAGTCAAGCTAGTTACTAAACTAGAAACAAAGTTAATTCCCGACTAATAAAAAGTAAGAAAAAAGAAACAAGATCAGCAAAAAGATCTTTCAATACAAGTAAAGTGTAATAATAATTTACACTCATCAATCAGTAGAGTTCTTAGAAAAACTCCACTTATTCATAATCCCTGAACACAACATTTCAAAAAAGAAAACACTGTTCAGTGGATAAGCACAGCTTGAATGTAATGATTACTGAGTGAAAAACTAAGGAATAGTCATTCAAAGCAATGAACTCCAACAAAGCTACTGTAGGTGCATGAATAAGGGGAATAACCTTATGAACCTAGAAGGCCATCATTACATAATATACTACACAATAAGTATAGTCATGAACTCAAAGGATTAGAACCCTAGGGCTAGTAAAAGTATACTAGTATAGGGTTAAAGAGTAAAGGTCCCTTATAGAAAGGTTCAAAGTATGAGTGAAAAACCTTAAAAAAAGATAATACAAGCCAGTAGGGGTCAAATAAAGTTCAACTGGGTCTGAACTTATTGTCCCAAAGACAAGCTAGGCTAACCTAAGTTGACTGTTAGCTAAGCGTGTAGCTTGAAAATAAAATCCATGGAAGGATTTCCTAAAAACTGACCTATTTCTAGTGTTAGAAGTACACTAAAATACAACCACAAATGAGCTCACTGCACTGAAGAATGACTTGTGACTCTGTCCAAGTACCTTCTGCTGCTGAGGAGGCCCTGCTGAGGTATAGTCTTGAAGATCTACCATGGGATGGTGGGCACCAACTCCCTCAGTAAACTGCTACTCAAGTTGTGCATGCTTCTAATATGCACCTTGCTGTCCCAAAGATCGGCTACTTGGTCATCTGTGCCAGTTCAGATTGTAGATTTTCCAACTTCTGTAAACTATCACGTTGACTAGGTTCCCGTAACAATCTGGTAACCCCTAGTCCTGCATATATCTGCCATCAATTTACCAATTATCTAAGAAACTTCTAGCAGATAGAGTAAAAAACTGGACTCTAAAATTTTTCCACTTTTCCATACATAGGCAAGTACAATTATGAAGATATAGCATATAAAGGGGTGTTAGGTCAGTTGACCTAGAGGGATTCAGGTTATCCTGTTGTTTTTGGACTTGCCCATTTTTCCAAATTAGGGGTATTAGCATATGTCATGGAATAGGTTGGATTGTATGTAATTTGTCATTTCTTGGATTACAACTACCAATTTTACATTCAATTCAAAGGGCATACAATTAAGTCTATCATCAAAAAGGTATGGTACAACGAATATGACATATTTCATAAAGCATGTTACCTGAATTATGTGTGTCATGAAGTCCAGCAATGACAGTGTAACAGCATAGTGGCCCTGGGTACATTCAAACCCTGCAAGGATGGTGCCATATGGTCCTGCATTCAGACCATTTCCACTGAAAACCAACCAAGTGCAGATAAAACATTGAGACCTATCAGGATACTGCATGCAATTCAGACATTCGCTCTTTGCACAATCATACTATTGCAACAACAGAATAGGTACATTTTTTCTTCCACTGTAACTCCTAGATCATGAGACACTGGAAATAAAACTGAAAGTTTGTGAGACACCTACAATGCAGCCTAGAAAAGATTTGAGAAAGTATATGACACACCCCTCATATTGCCTGAGGAAAATCAATCTATGTTTGCGAGACACCTACCTTGTTGCCTCCAAAAGATCTGTAAAGTTTTCAGTCAAAAATGGAAGAATTCCTGTTTGTTTCATCTGGTGCCACGTCTGAAATTAAACAAAACGAGGTTCAATTTTTTAATATTATGGATTAACTCCATAGCTTATCATTTTAGCAGTTTATATGAAAGTGACAAGTACATCCATCAGATATGAAATACATTGGGACCCAAATAGACAGAGATACCTATCAAAGAATTTTTCACTTAATTGTCCTAATATTGGTCTAACATGTGGTGTGTCTAATAATTTGGCCATAACAAATGGGTAGTATAAAATGGCAAACATTAACAAATCCTGGCATTGAAGAGTTAAAGGTCTTACATCCAAGGGGTTATCAGCTAGCAGACATGTGATGGACTTAATACAGCTGGACAGCAGGTCAAGGGGCGGTGTCGCAGCTACTATAAACCTAGAAATCAATTTGTCACCATGATTTATTTCAAATTTGAATTTAGTGAGATGTTCTAAAGAGGGCAGCACTCATACTTTGTATTATATACTTTATAGAGGGCAGGACTGCATGTACTCTGCAAATGCTGCATGGAAAATTTGCAATTTTTTCTAGAAATCCAAAAAACATACATGAATATGCATTACATATTTATCATAAATTAATTAAGTATTACAGAATTTGTATGAGAGTGAAATTAAAACTGATACAAATGTAGAGTACAGCTGGTTCCATATAAATTTCTGAATATTGATTAAAGCAAATAATTTTTTGTACATAATTCATTATGATTAAACTAACCTCTGAACCACATCAAAGAATTGTTTGCTGAGATGTTTAACCTGGTCACTAATGTCAATGTCATGTTTCATCACTTCAGAAGCAAGATCAGCTATTGAGGTTACCTTAGCAACTGTCTCCCTGGATACCATCCCTATGTTATATAACGTAACATGATGTTTCATTATAATATAGAGATGATCAAATAATCAATAACATGGCAGTATGGGAAAGTGTTTAAAAGTTCAAAGAGGGTAAACAAATTTTCCAGAAATATTGTACTCAGCTGCTTCAAGTACACCAAAATCTGAAAAACTTGACACAAAAAATGGACACAAAAACACTAAATGGTTAACACATGATCATACCAGCAAACTTACAAATCTGTGTATTATACTATTGAAAAATGGGAAAAATGCATCAGAGGTAGATATTCTATAACAATATTTGTTTTTGCTAAAGGTCAGTGTTACCTTAAATTATACAAGTTACTGTACAATAGTTTAAGTACTGTAATATTAACGAGGTATTTAATATATTTACCAGTGCCATGTGATATCTGTTCTAAAAGTAGATTCACTTCACAGTAGAAAAGGTCCCAGGCACTATAGTCCACCTCCCACTGTATCAGAGGACTGCCAGGACCAGGTTGGGGAAATAATTGTCCACATGTTCGTCTTGGGATCACAAAGTGACCTGTAATATGCAGTTATTAAAATTCCATTTTTACTAAATATATCTGTTGTTACATTAGAGAGAAAAATATGGCAGTTTTATTTTTATTTTCACACTATTTCAACAAAAAATGTCATGAAAAAATGCCGCGATAAAATGCAGAATTTCACATTTTGGCTTACAGAATTTTTTTTCTTGCAGAATTTTGCATTTTGTAGCGCAGAATTGTAGTATCTGTGAATATGAAAATATATTCATATGAAATGAAATGTCCAAGAATAATTTCCTATTTCTAAGAGAAAGGTCAAGATTAATAGGTCCTCAACATTAAGAAAGCTACAATGAAAATAAGTATAATATTCAATGTATGTTATATGTGCTGTATGTGATGTATTGCTAGTTCATATTCGCACTTTATTGCTATTTTTTCCACATATATTGCTATTACCTGAATTATATGGTAGTTTCTCTTGTACCAGCATCCACACAGATTCCTGTCTTGTCTGCTCAATGTCTGCAGCTCTGTTTTGATCTAGAAACTCTGTGTAGGTTCTCATCTGGGACAGCAGTTTACATACCTAACAGAAAGTAGAATATCTCATTAAAGGGGGAGCAAAGAATAGATATTGGCTTATAACTATGAGTAGAGTAAAAAGTGTATTTTACTTATGTTAATTCTATTTTATTTAACTGTATATCTGAACCTTTTTTTAAAACTAATGTTGATGCTGATTCCTACAATGGACATACAGCCTCTGTCCCATTTCAATATAAACTATAACTTACCCTTCTGGAGCTGGGTTTACTGGCTTTTGCAAGTGGAATCATAAGATGCACCAAGCCCTCAAAGTCTAGAGGGAACTTACTTAAAGCTGATCCAACTAGAGTACCTACTCCCTCATCAAAACCCTGTTAATAAGACATGTATTTGGTATAAAACACAAAGTAATATTAAAATTTCTTTTTAGATTTTAATACATTAAAGGGGCAACAAGGACTGTAGAGAGAACATTTTTACCTTTATGAGCTATCAGGTCAATATTTGGCTTAACACCTTCTTTGACATACCTATTTTCTTAAAATGTATGTATAGTATAAGCTATCAATTCTTATTTTAAAGTGACAATGTAATAAAGATGCACAATTAACATATACTACTTTATGTCATCTAAATTAGTTTTCTTATTTTAGAGGCTAACACTCTCAGTTGGGGGTCTGAGCTTTTAAAACGTTTATGCAAGGATTACCTTGTCCCACATGTCAGCAGCAATAAGGGGATGACTGAGAAGTTTCGAAACCAGTTGATAGAGGGCAGTAGTGTCTCCAAGAGTATCTTCATGGAATAACGTCAGCAGGACAGAAAGCAGACCATATAGCACTGTTTGCGAGACATGGGCTATCATCTGAAATTATAAGATATATTATGTTTATTATATTAATTAGGGTTTAAATCTTGGTCTGGAAAAGTTTATGATATAAATGTGAACTAACAGAGTATTGGGATGACCAAAGTCAAATTACAGACCACTTAGTAAATTTGGTTGACAAGAAATTAAAGAATATGTTTGTAGAAAATTGGAAAAAGGACATTTTGATATATCCCAAATTAAGAACATATGAGCTGTTTAAGACAGATTTTGCATTAGAACCACGATGCCCATGTCAAGCAGCGTGCCTAATAGGCACGCAGTTTGAAACTCTGACAAACTGCGCGCATATTTCAAAATGTGAGACGGGGAGGACACGACTCCCAAAAAGAGCCAAAATACGAAAAATACAAGGTTAGTCTCGTTCTAAAGATAGTACCATTCTGTGAAGATGAACTTAATTTACTCATAGTACTCAATGTTGTTCCCGATGTAAACCTAGTTATCTCAATATAAGGGTCTTATTAAGTAACTTCTGTGTTCAAAATTTACAGTGTAAAGTTATATCTGTGTCTTTTTATCGTCATTTGCCGTTTATTCAGCCATTGTGTCTGTGTATGCTAGAATATATAGGATCACTCCATCTGATTAAATCAGCAAAGTTTGTGTTCAAAACGATAATACGCCATAAACGTGATTTAAACATTTTTCTTGTCAAACTGCGCGCCTATATTCACATGTATTTCCCAAACTGCGTGCCTAATATTTCCAAACTACTTGCCTATCCAAGCTTGTTTTGTATTATTAGAAAACATAAGCGCCATACAAGGCACATATGTGTCTAATAGTAGAACCCCATAATTGAAACACTATGAGAGTCCATCCACCAAGATGGTGATCTGAAAATAAAAGTTTTTTTCGTTCCCAACTTAATTGTCACTTCTATTATACATTTTGACTTTCAATATGAAAATCTCATAAAATCTGACGATAAAGCAAAATTTCCAAAGCTACATGAAAAACACCTACACGTGCCTCTGTAGAAATTCCAATGATAATATGTAGTTTTAATAGTGTATGCGCACAGTTTGTAATTTCTGGCTAAAATAGGCACGCAGTTTGTGATTTATTTCTATTTAATCTCCTGATTATCTGTTTTATCTCGAAATATTTTGAATTATACATGATAAATGTGTAAGGAATTAAATATAAAACGAGTCTAAAGTATTTGTCATTTATGTTTAAAGTGCTAGATCGATTTACGTATAAATTCCCGTTAAATCAGTGACGAAAATGCCATTAATCTGCTTATGTTTTAAAACTTAGATTCATTTGCACATAGTTTTTGCTAGTATTTGCAAGATTCGTATATTCGCCACAGAATGAACGCATTGAACAAGAAAACAATGCAGGATAAATGTCTTTAAATTACGTTTCAAAATACAGACTCCAACTTAAATGATGCAATGTTCTTAGGCACGCAGTTTGTGATCTAAACAAACTACGCGCCTAAGTAGGCGCGCAGCTTGACATGGGCACCGTGAGAACCATATACAAAGTTAGACAATAAAAAATATAGATTAGCAATAAGTAGATTTAGGTTGAGTTCACATCAGTTAAAAATAGAAACAGTAAGACACACGAAGCCAAAATCCAAACCTGTAAATGAAAGATTATGTAATATATGTAAATGTGTAGAAGATGAATTTCACTTTATCATAAATTGTATGAAGCATTCTCAACACAGGCAAATATTTTTCAGCAAAATTTCTGAAACATTACCAAAATTTGATTTAAATAGTGATAATTTATTTACAAATATAATTTCAAGTGATAATACCATCATACAACGGCATCTTGGTATATTTATATATCACTCATTTAACAATTTAGAATAGTCAGCATATTTTGTACATCACACTTAAAAATATTCTGCCTCTCTTGTATGCTTTCAATATGCATATGGAATTTTTGTACATTACTTTGTAAATGTAGGAGTAGTTTTAGTTAGTCTTAGTGAGTAGTTGTGACTAATGTAATCATGTAATGATACAATATGTGAATAAAAGTTATATACTGTATATGTACAGGGTACTTCATAAATACTTATACGGATTCAAATCATCAACCTGAATGAGGCCTTATATGGTTATAGGTTGCCAAAGAACATGGCGTTTAGGCAACATTTATGTGTAGGTACAAACGTCAAGAAAAAATATTTTTGGATTACAAAATCTGACTAGAGGTAGATGAAGTTCCTTATTTGAGTTTAGATGAAACTATGTTTAAGAGACAAAAAAGGCAAACTCTTGTTTGAGACACTGTCCTTTTATTCTACTGCAAAATACCATGAAATAGAGTAGTACTAATGAATATCAGAAAGTTATGGAAAGAGAGGACACATCCAAACATACATGACATGTGCACATGTTTATATGGGCTACCTCATGCACGGACATCTAATACGTTCTTCGAACTGCCCTGGAACTATATCTATACCAGGACTGGCATCAAGATCCAAGTATTTTTCAAGACCGCCGACTCTCCTTATTGACTCAGTTGTTCATATAAATTTACGTACCTTAGATGCTTTGTAATCGACGTAGATAGAAAATATTGTTTCCTAAATTGTTCTGAAAAGCGATAATTATTACTAAATGTACTTTGAACAGGTCGACTGACCAAAAAGTCGGACTTCTGGCACAAGGTCACGTGACCAAATAGAATTTGTATAGATAAAATTGATGACGTCACCGCCATCGGTGTAGGTCAGGTCAAAAGTCAAAAGTCATCCATCTTGCCATTTGCCCCGCGTATTCTTACCAGTCGACAAAAAACGATGAAATCACGTTAAAAATAAAATATACACTTTAAAATTGAGGCTGATTGAATATGACAAGACTCCATTGAATACAGCTGTGCAATTTACAGTCACCAAGATGAGCTAATTTCGGAGAGATTCGGTGAGATTCGGGAATTAAAAAAGGTAAGCCCTTCCGGTTTCCCAACTTCAAGTATTTGAAATCCCAGAATTTCGCCAGAAACATTCTCTCTGACTGTGACCTCATGTACATTAGGTTACTCCCCTTGAAAAACTTCTTGACCTTTTGAAGACTTGAAATCGGCAACTCCAGGGAGTAGCAAATCCCAACGAACACTATATAATGAATCTGTTTATGTAACAATTTAACATTACCATCTACATGTACTCCTACCCGTGGCAGAAAAACATATATTTAAGCATTTTGGGTGACCATTTAGGAGTGACAAAGGCACAAATCATAAAGACAATACAATATTTAAGGCCTAATATACATTGTAGTATCATCTTACCATACTTTGAAGACATCTCTAAGTAAAGGCGACTTCCTGCTTTTAGGCAGCCAATTTTGATTTTGTAAGGCACAATTAAATCAGAAAAACAATACACCATGTACCAATGTACCACTACTGTGATCAATTCAATTCAATTTGAGTATAATACAACCATACTTTAAAGAGATCATAAACGTTCTACGAAATCACCCATTAAGCTACTATTTTGAATTTTACTAGGCTCGAATCAGAAAAACGATACAATATTTGCAATCTTCTCTAAATTGCCTTTCATCACAGTATAATAAAGCTATACTTCCAAAAACATCTCAAAATTAACACAAATTCCTGTTTTTCAATCCTTCATACACAGCCCCTGGGGGTCAGGGGGAAAAACACAGAGTATATGAGAAAAAGATAGATGTGAATAAATTATGAAAATTTCAAATTTTTTAAATTTTTAAACTGGTGGCCATTTTGAAAAAAGTTATATGCATAAAACTATTTACAAATATACATCTTTCCACAAAATATGGAGAAAATCTGTCCACTATTCTAGTATTTGAATTATCTTCGGGACGGATGAACAGACGGATGGACTGACTGACTGACAGACAGATGGATAACTTCATTCGTTGGGATAGTTATCACTTATCTTTATGAAAACTGTGAATCATGACTTAATCTGATGCAAATACACATGCCTATAGCATACATTATTCAAAATACAAGCAGCTGACAATTACCAAATAATTGTGAAAGTAATAAAAAAACATCGCTTCTTGGCAGTAATATAACTTTAAACGGTTCCTCCACACCTTAATGTTTTTTAAATACAATTTCAATTCAACTTGTTTTCAAAGTATGTTCAAATGTTTTCAAACTATGTAGTAATGGCTGCTCTAGACATAAAATGAAGTAAAAAGTATTTATAAACCCAGCAATATTCATTTATTCTAATATAATACAGTACTTGACAGTATTGAAATGACTTTAAGAACATAGTACACTAAAATAGGTTTCTCTGGGGTTTAAGACAATTCTTGAATGAACAAGATCAGATGATTGAATGTGTGGTTTGTTTCAGGTATTTATGTTATGACTATAGTCCAAAACTGGAGATACAGATTACAGATTCTCAAAGTTCCTCATCAATCAGGTCCTTTCCTAGGATTCAATAAAAATGGGAAGTGAGATTTGATAAGAGTTCCTCAAATGAAAGGCTTGATTTATATCAGATGGAGAAATATTCCTTCGATGATGTCAATATTTCAAAGGAAATAAGAGTATAATATCAATGGGATTTGTTTTAGCACAATTCAATGTCAAAATTCTCAACAAATGTTCTATTGACATCACAAAGATTTTTTTACTATCTTGGTCCTCATAGAATATACCCTCATTTCACACAGATCTGTGTACTCAATCTAAAGTTTTTCATCACAAGTTTTCTCCAAAGAACAATTTTCAGCATCAGTCTGAGTATTGTCATATTCAGGTGTGCCAAACATCTCTGCATCTTCGAATGTCTCAGGGAGACGTTTTCCTTTTGTTTCTGGTAAGAAATAAGCCAAAATTCCTGCGACAATAGGAAACACAGCTAAGCAAATATATGGTAATCCAAACCAGAATGTTTTCAACAGAGGAATTTGAGGTGATATCAATCCACCAATTCGTCCAACACTTGCTGCACTTCCAAAACCAATATTCCTTACCGGTGT